CATTTATTTCACTGCTATACTGCAAAACAAACCGTCAGACAGCGTAAGGGTTCATGTATATTCGTGCATGTATTTTACTGATGTAGATTTTTTAGGAAAACGCCATATTTGACGCGTTCACGTCGTGAGTGGCTAGCAGATTATGCGCTTCCTGCTTCGGTTCTTATCATGTCTTTTACGGGTGCCTACTGCTTTTATGATATTGAAAGTTAGTACCCAGTCAGTTTTTTCATGCGGCTTTGTTACTGGACACGGAATTCATCCTTTTCTTTTTTTCTGCCGAGTAAAACTCAGTGAGAAACCCGTATCAGTTTTTTTTTTTTTGTGTGCTATTTGTGTTTCTGTTTTAAAATCATTTATGCTGTAGCATTTGGAGTTAGTAGCAAGGGGGCTTGATTTAACTATACTGTAGAAATAGCACCATCTCATGCGAAAGGAATATCAAAACCTATGACCGCATTTGCGATGTTATCTTTAATATATATACATTGGTTGTGATAGTATACTGACGAAGTTTCGCCACAACCACGTATTCGATGTATATACTCTGTAGCCGAAACGGGATATCGTATTGGCAAACGTATTGCGCGCTGCATTTAATTCCTCTGCACTGAATCGATTTTTGTACTCGTATGAGGAAGAAAAGAAGAATATTGCTCTCCTTTTTGCATAGCCATTGTTTGGATATGCACTTTACGCAGTTCGAAGATAAATTTGAAAGAAGCTATTTTGCAGAAGACAAGTTCAAAATGCGAACCAATGTGGCGACGTTTGCAATTGCACCAGTGTTCTCATTACCGTGGCAGGGCTATTTTGTATGCTTACTTCTCGGCTTCTCATTATCTTTTCTTTTCTTTATGGACCAAAATATCACCTCAGCCATTGTAAATAACTCGCAAAATAAGTTCGCTTTTCATTATAAATTCCATGCATCCACTTTTTTTTATCGCCGTGCTCTATACGTTTTTATACTCAGCACTTTTCGTATAGTTGAAGCGTGGCTGCCTCAAATCCTTCCGTTGCTTGGATTGGTGAGAAAAATTCGCATTGAATTTCACTGCAC